ACCTCTCAGAGACTTAGAAGAGAGCAGAGCAGAGTTGACTAGGTGGAAACCTAAGAGAACTAAACTGAGTTCTCTAGGTATTTTATTAGGGTTTATATACTACTCTATAGTATAGCCTCATGGTTAACATAAGGCATGACATGAGGCTATGATCAGTCAGCTCTGCAGTAATGATGTCATGCTATGTAATACTATGTCATGCAGTATGACTAACATTATATAATCAAGATAAGATGAAAGTCACGTGACTTACATAAGCATGAGAAAGCGGAATTGAAAATAAAGTAAAGTAAAAGTAAATAAATAATATGTAGTAAAGTGGAAATGGTCATTCCATAACAGAGCTTGAAACCACTAACATGTAGGAGGTGTTCTCAGTCAAGGTGCTGGTTGACAGCAGGACTACTGGCTGCTTCCTTGATACAGGATTTGTTGAGCAGCACTGACTCATCACCTGCCCCCCCACTGTGTCATCCCAGTCTATAACATTGACAGCACTGCCAATGAAGCCAGCATGGTGAAGAATGTAGTAGAGGTGGTGCTCTGTTATGAGGGGCACTCTGAGCATGCTCTCTTTACTGTCACCAGAGATTGACTGGATAACCAACTTGGTGAAGATGAACTGCTGCCCATCCCAGTGCAACACATGTTGAGAGGACACCATGCTCAAGAGCCAGGCCAAAGCAAAGGGCCATTCCACTGTCTGGGCCTTTCAAGCCAAAGGCATCCCGGCAAGCAAACCTGAGCTACATGCTCCCCCCTCTGAGGCTGACAACAACTCTGAGGTAGAGGAATTCCTCCTGTTCACTCTCTTCATGGAGGAGGAGCCTGACCTGGCCACATGCACTACATTCCACTTTTGAGTCCCCCCTGAGTTTGACCATGTCAAGGCCTTCCAGTGTCTGCATTTATACCATGGCAATACACCCCACCCTGATGGCAGAACACATCTAGGCAAGCCAGACCACCTTGCAACAACTTGTGGAGGCATTTGCCACCAACACCACCCCCAAGTCATTCTGAGACAGTCCTGAACCACCTCCATGACTTTGAGGTTGTCTTCTCCAAGGCCTCATTTGACTTGCTCCTGTGAGCAGGCTGTTCTCCTTCCCCCACTTGCCAAAGCAAAGAGAGCACCCAGCAATCCATGAGGCCTTGGCCACTGCATCCTCCTGTGCACCCTCTCAGTTTCCCTATCAAATTGCCTTCAGCACATTGTCCTCCTCACCCACGAGCATCAGCCCCTCAGTTGCACAGATGGCAAAGAACTCTGGTCTGAGCAAGACAATGTCAGCATTGTCCCTGCTTCCATCTCTGTGGTCCTGCCATTGCATCTGCAAGCACTAGTAACATGCATGAATGAATGATGTAGGGAATTACATATGCACTCAAGATATTAGTACCCTCAGAAGAATTCAAGGAAGTCATGGTGGACAAGCTAAGTCAACTCTTCACTTTAAGTGAAGAAACAGAGGTCAAAAGCTCCTGACATCATCTCTTGAAAGGCCTCGGCACTTTCCGATCACTTCAAGGTTGCCAGTGGCCACGGGCCACGGCCCGCTATACTGCGCATGCCGTAAGTTCACGCTTCAAGTTGGGCATCAATATCATATCTTCCGATCGCGCCTATAATGCTGTTCATCGAATTCAAGTCAAGGATAATCGATAAATGCCCCCTTTGACTTTGAACGCTAGCCATGGAGAATACTCGATAATGTACGCGGAAGGCTAATTCGCCCACTCAATATAGCTGTCGGTCGGGAAGCCATCCATCTATCGTGCTGACTGAACTCAATCGTACTGGCCAAAGTTTGAATGCCCCCGATGCCCTCGCGCCTATTTCCTTCCTTTTCCGCGCAGTCGGAACCGGGAAGCATGTCCCTCCGGAACATTTCTCTCGCAAGGCACATCTCTAGCAATTACTTCTCGCTACACTTGGGAACCGAACAAAGAGCAAGTGTAGCTTCCCCATCTAGTAAGATCTATGGATCTAAGCTCCACCTAAACCTTCGAACAAAAGAAAGTATGCCCGTCCATTACTACTGTTTCCGACTGGCGGCAAATTCACCAATGCATTAGGGAATGCCAAACTGAATTTACTTGATGCAACAGACAGTATCCCTCCAGGCGCCAGGTTGTCTGTTCGTGCGGATGCCTGCTGATTGAGGTCAACACGTCCCGCTTTCAGGATGAATCCACGAATCTAAAGTGCCCATCAGGAACGTCGGCTGACGCACTCATTGCAGCCAACAGCTTACTTTCGCTCCAGAGTCTGCTGGATGCATACAAACTCCAGAATATAAAAAGGCTCGTGGAATGAAAGTTGCCTCACCGCCTCCCCTTCCATTGAATCCACCGTTCTCGCTAACTTTCACTTGTCATGAGCATTGAAGCGACTCTGTTGATTGCCCACCGACCGTATTCTAAGCCCGTGCACAAATTCCCTCTTGGTCTTGTAACGGACAATGTTCGACCATATCTTGAACTAATCCGTCTAGAGAAGGTTAGCATCCCGAGTCGTTTTCTTCAACCGATTTTGAATTGATTCATTGCAGCCGACAGGAACAGTACTCATGTTCTGGCCGTTTGGTAAAGCCTGAGGTGCAACGCGTTTTGCACGTAGGGAATTGCTGACATCTTTCTCTCAGCATGGGGTCTGACGATGGCTGCGTATGCGACTGAGCTTGCACTTGATCGCTACGGCCTTTATCTTGCCAAGTGTCTCGTTGGCGCATTTCTCCTTCGAAGCTCAGCGTGTACGGTGAACGATATATTTGACCGCAAAATGGACGCTGGCGTTGGTCAGTACTGTCGAATTCAACTCATTAACACGGTTCAGTCAATGTCTTGCGTTGCCGTCTTCAGAACGAACGAAAAATCGACCCCTTGCCAGCGGACGCATATCTGTCATGGCTGCCACGATTTATCTTCTTTTCCTATACAGCCTCGGTGTCCTCTTTTTTTCCATGACTGTCCAAGGCTTTGCGTGCGTATCTCAAATCAATCTTACTTGTCGTGACGCACACCGACTGACGTATTTCTAGGCTATGGGTCGCCTTATTCCAGCTGCTTCCGCTGTAAGTCCTTCGCGACGACCTGGCCACCACAGTGGGCAATTCTTTGCTCATCGACGTCGTCACCTTAGATTTGCTATCTATCCGCTTTTGAAACGAATTACGCATTGGCCACAGGCGTGGCTCGGATTTGCCATGAATTTTGGCTTCATCACAGCATGGGTCTCTCTTACCGGAAGTCTCGACGTTCTTCTTCTATCGGTGGTCATTACCGGGTGTTGGTGGTGAGTGAACTCGATTTATGACATCGACAAGAAGAATGAAAGTACTTTCCTGGCAGTTGGACTATGCTTTACGGTGCGATTTTGAATTCTCAATCTGTGAACGAGTTTATCATGTCAGATTCACATTGATTTGGGTAGACACTATCTATGCTTGCCAGGACATCAAAGACGATGTGAAAATGGGTGTCCGGTCTACGGCTATCCTCTTTGGTTCGTGGATACGCCCGCTTCTCATTCTATGTGCCTTCGGTTTTGTCGGGATGCTCGGCGTTGCCGGGTATCTTAACGGGCAGGGTGTATCCTATTTTGTTCTGTCTGTTGGTGGAACCTCCGCGCACCTGGTATGGCAATTAAAGACGGTCGATCTTGAGATCCCCGCGAGTTGCTGGGGTATGTTAACCATTCGATACAGATGGAATCCGACCAATTTGTTTTACTGCCACAGAAAACTTCAATCGTAATGGACGACTGGGATGGATTGTCTGGACTGGGTTGATGGTTGACTATCTCATTTCCGTTACATTCGTCAAGGCCTGATATCTTTTGAGTCCTATCTTCGGACTGGCGAATCCTACCTGTTCACATCCCTCCCCAACTTAATGATATTGTAACTGTAGACTAACATCTTCGCTCCATCGGTATCCCATCGCTTCGTACAAGTCGTCCAGTCTAAATGATAGGCTTTCTTCTTTGGTAGTTGTATGCACCGATGTACCGTCTTACGAGTTCTCATGTCTATTTTTCCTACAAACATCAGGAGGGACCAGGAAAAAAAATGGACACTGTGGGAATTGAACCCACGACCTCACGCAGTGATGTAATGCGAAGCGTGCGCGCTACCCCTGTGCCAAGAGCCCTTACCTGATTCTTTTGATAAATTTTAATATAGAGTACATGGACTCAACATTTTTTTTTTTTTTAATCAATTAACGTGTTGCAGGCGTGTAGCGCCCATGTTACACGGTACAGCCAGTCGGTAGATAAAGTACAAGAGCCAGGGAATTCTACACCCCCCCGCTATTGGCGGAGAATGAGCGAGCCGGCTTTCCGTACCGGGACTCAACGTTGAAAGAAGGAATGGCCGGTGTTCATGAAATTTGTGTGGAGCGGAACTCATCAGGACCGAAGTCGTCATACTCCCTTTACGCCCACGACTCCGAGTTTGTCCGCGCTGTTAGATACCCCGAAGCAAAAAATTCGGGCCGACAACCTCACAAGACAGCGACCTCAACAGTGTTCTCTGAAAAAATGTGTCATCATGTCTGGGATCAAAGCCATCTATTGCCTAGTCAAGTGCTATTCGGGCGATCAAAAAGAAGCCCGAGGGATCCCAAAGTAGAGGGAAGCACTGTTCCGCCCTTCTCGAAATGTCATCCGGCGAGAGAGCCATTGTCAAGACCCCAAGTACAGTGTGGGGTGCCAGCCTCTTGTTGTCATACAACTCATCTCCAATTTCTAGTGGCCCTTCTTGCCAAGAACGAGCACTGGCCACATAAGAAATTGTAATTTTTTCAACATAACTTATACAGAAGTTAGTTAAGTTCTGGAGCAATAGATATATTCAAATAGATGAATATTTACCAGTCAATTTTTATTCAATTGGCAGCCAGGAATCCCATTCTTGTGCTTAGGCTAATACTTGTATTTTTTTTTTGGATGTCACGTGACCGACGGACTCCTTGCCGATTCCTCAGAAATCATATACATGTACAACAACTGGAGCTGTGTCTTTGAATTGTGGCTGACCAGAACCCAACTAGTTCTCGTTGTGGCCAGTTAATTATCAAAACTTAGTGAGAGACCCCCTGGATGGTATGAGGCAAACATCTGTGGTGGCATCCTCCAAATCAGGAGAGCGGTTCGAAATTTCATACAAATGAGATATTATCATAAGAATTCAGAAGATGCAATGAGGGGGGGGGGCACCCACACTGTACTTGGGGTCTCGACAATGACTCTCTCACTGGATGACGTTCGGAGGAGGGTGCAAGGAGCGGAAGAGTGCTTTCCTCCACTTTGGGATGCCTCGGGCTTCTTTTCGATCGCCCGAATAATACCCATCGACTCAACACTCAGGCTCCGTCACGCACCTTGAAATAGCCTGAGTCCATGGAATGAATTGTCAGGACCCCGGTTAACGATTAGATTTTCGAAGCATGATAAGGTAGAACAGGCTCCCCATCTGTGCAAAGAAGATTCCATCGAACGTGACACATTTGCGAACTTGCCAGTGTTTCTAATCAACTCGATCGATACATTACATGCGCCCAGGCTGGAGTACACACGACCGCGTCGACAACTTCAAGTTCCTGAAGACGATGTACATTCGGTTCGCCTCGGTGTGCAGCGAAATGTCCGCTGGGGCATGCACGGAGACATGAAACAGACAAGAGCCTAGATCGTTAAAAGGAATTGAATATTGAGAGGATACGTGGATGTCTAGGAACAGAAGTCCACGTTCTTGAATGCATACACCGAGGACTGTAAACGTTTGATAAACGGTGACTCACTACACCAATAGAAAATATCGACCGGGGGATGTAGAAAAATCAGGGTTGATATTCCTTCTAGTACTGCGTTGTCCGAGAGAGACAAAAAGGATTATGGCATCTGCCGCGATTGCGACGCTTCGTTCGTGCTCCTTGAACTTGGTCTACGTGTGGCGGCGTTTGAAGGATCCATGTCGCAGCGGCCAGCATCGGTCGGCGACACTCGCGCAAGGCGGACCCTGTGCGGGTGTGGGATGTTAAGGGACAGTCATGCGTTGAATCGATGGAGAGGCTTGAAAAAGCCTCCGAAAAATCGGTGACATAAGATGATGGCCAGGAGATGTGATGGGGATAGCTGTCTGATTGGGTATTCGCGTCCGACGGCGACGTGGCTGGCAAACTAACTTCCCCTCCCGCCGGGATCGCATGCCCCTCCGAGATGGTCGGGGAAGCAGGTGCCACAACGGGATCTGAAGGAAGCAATTCTGCGATGGGGGAGCATAAAGCGATGTTGTCCATATTTACGAGAAGCGCCCACGGGTCACCCTGGGTGGATATCGTCCGCCGGATGGCGGGGCATGCTGCGCCACATGGTCGCAGAACATCTGCAGGCCGAGAGTACAAGGTGAACCCCCGTGCTTTGTAGTTGTTCACGTAATCCTCCTTCATATCTCCCGGAACAGCGCCAGCAATCGGTTGATGGTTGGGATCATTGTACGATTCCAGAGTATTCTCGTTCCGGAACTGCAGGATACGCTCGAGTTCGAACGTCGACTTCGGGTAGAGGACGACTACCGAGTCGTGTGAAAGATAGTTCATGACAAGCGCGGAGTGGAATTTCGTGATCGGGGCAAGAAATGTCGGCTTTGAGGACTCAATCACGTCAATGTAGTTGTCCTTTGTCGAGCATAGTTTGTAGACACGATAGATGTCGGAGTCAGTCGATCCATAACACATTTTTGGGCTTTAAGCGCTGCGATAAGCGGCTGGGGCCAAACCAAGATCTGTCAACCAGCAAGTATCATCATCCGCGGGAACAAGGACCGAATGGGGGTGGAAATGAAGCTTCTGGAGCCGTCAGAGACGACATGATATCTCTCGTTGGCTACTAGCCAATGTACGACGGCATAAGCCGTGCCAAATGGTGTGTATATGTCAAAGTCGCCGGGTCTCCAGTGAGTCTCGCGAAGAATGAAATGAAGAGCCGTTGATCCCGAGATCATTGCACGAGTTCTTTGTGGTACATTGCGGAAGCCGCTGATATTGCCCTGGCTATCCTCGAAGCCAGCAGCTCACCGAAAGATTAACAGAGGTGCGCAGAGAGTTTGCCCCTCAGAGAGCTGTGAGTCTGAGAAAGCGAGATGACGGCTGATGTGGGAATATGGGCGACTATTTTATCGAATAGAATGACGAGGACATTGAGTGGTAGGGCCGCCGCGGCGGTCGGAATACTTTCTCGAGGTGAAAGCCTGGCCTCCATATAGTTTGAATTTGTTGTTATCTTGAGCGCCCGACACTGATTGAGTTATTATAGACACCAGTGAGAGCTAACGTAAGCAAAACTCGAGTGAACGGTGTGACAATGTAAGCTCAAGTTGAAGAAAATGAACTTTCTGGCATGACATTGAGTACTCAGTACTCAGTTACGCGCGTGCCGAGCCCCCACTCCTGAGTCAGTAGTGGGGCACACGCACGGTCACATGACCGGAACGCGTCTAAAGTTCTCGTTCGAGTTGAAGTTCAACCATGAAATTTCCAGTTTTGTCCCAAACCACGATGTCGTCCAGCTCATCACCCGCGACGATGGCCTCCAACGGATTCTGTCAAATAGGACGATATGGGACGATTTCCCTCATGAAGCGGGGAGACCCTAGTATAGCTGTGACTGCCTTTGGCATCGACACCGACCAGCTCACTTTTGGTCGAGATCCAACGTGTGGGGTTCGACTGTATTACACGGACGTTGGCCTAGTGCACTGCAAGATTGTGTTTGAAGAACACAAGGTGTGTGTACTCTTGCCATGATAGAACTACGCTCATTGTATGAAAAGGCCTTTCTGGTCGTGCTCGGCTCTAATGGACTCTTCGTGGATGGGTGTAAGGTTTATCCTTCCAGCACGCCGGCATCGGAGACCACGATTCCCCTTACCAACAACTCGGAGTTTGAGATTCACGGCAAACGGTTCAAATTCACCTATCCACCCAAAGATCTTCGTCCCGCGCTGTATGCCAGCCCTGCCCGTACGTGTCTTTCGCCGTAGAGGTTACCTTCTCACATTTCCACCGCAGGTTCCACGAATCGCGCTCTTCGCCTCTCGATGATCCAAAGCACTCAAGTTTTCTCTCTGCGCCCGTCGCCAGATCCCCGCGAAAACCTACGCATCCTCAAGAGTCCGCTCAAGAACACCTTTAAATCTGCCGTGGCACAAAATCTCTTTGCAGCAAAGTACGCCTACGAGTCCCCCGCCAAACGTGAGACGCAAGACGACGAAGAAGACAGCATCATCTTGGTCGACGGCAATCATCCACGCGTGGTCGAAGACGAGAAGGATCTCGTTATCCTAGAGGACGTCGAGATGGACACCGAGACGGAGGTTCCGCCAGCCGCTTACACGCCTCAGCCGCAGATCCCTCCTCAGACGCCCGCCCGCAAACGCTCGTTGTCGCGCAATACCTTGCATCGCGCGGTACTCATCCGGAGCGCGCAGCGGGCAGTGCTGAAAGCCGAATTGGACGAACGCGAACGGGAGCAGGAAGAAGAGGAGGAGATGGAGGTTTTTGATGCCGTCGCGAGCGAGCCCGAGAGCGGGAGCGACGAGGAGGAGTATGATGAGGACGAATACGAAGAGGAAGAAATTCCGCTGGCCGGCAGCGACGACGTGAAAAGCGAAGAGGAGCAGGTCGTGCACAGAGGGCGTACGGAGGATAGGAAGACGCAGAAATTGGGATGGCGCAAGAGTCTCGAACGCTTGTGGCCCTTTCGTAGCTCCAGCGCTGGTCCTGAGGAAGGCGAGGTCGACGACGACGAGGTACGTCATCCCGCGCCGTGTTAGCGTCTCAGATCCTGAACGCACAGTGCGGTTATTAGAATGGCGAGAACTCGCTGAACGAGATGGACCAGAATGAAACTGAGGAACAGGAACGAAATGAGAACGAAGACACACTCTCTCAGCAAACCTCCGAGCGGAGGACCCTGGGGTCATTCATGACCCCCCAAATTCATCCTCGCTCTAAGGTGTCGAGCTCCTCCTCCACGATCAATGGAATCGACCATCCCGCCGGACAACCCGACATTGCCACACATACCAGGTACTCGCTCGGCGGAGAGGCTCGCCGCGTCGCGCGCACGGAGCAGGTCTGGAAGGTAC